GATTTTTTATAGATCATATAATTAAAACTATTCAGGTAGATCGATTTCTTAAAGAATACTTGTGTACTTCAGAGCATTTTTTTAGTCGAGATATATTTTTATGGATATAGCAGAGAATTGTGAGTATATAGATGCTGCACACTGTTAGAATATGTTCCATTTTGCATGATTCTTGATGTTTCAGATTGAAGATTAAACGAATTATCCGTTTTTGAGATGTGAAGACTCTCAACCAGTCAGTTGCTTGACTCCATGAGGCAATATTATAGCTTATTGCAGAGTAACCTAGAGCATAATACACATTTATTAGTGCTTTTTCATTTAGATATTTTTTTAGTGAGAGAATGGCAAAGTAAGTTTTGTTGAGTTTGTGACAGAGGTTATTGATTCGCCCCAGGGTTGGTGCAGGATCTATAGTGTGGTGCCTAGGAATCTAATGGATTCAGATGAAATTATTGATGAGTTGCTGTCAAGGTTGATTTTACTCAAACAAGGGGCAGCATATTTTCCAAAACAGTGTAGTGTAGTGAATTGCATGTAAGATGTTTTCTGAAGATTAACTACCAGATGATTTATTTCACGCCATAATGTGAATTGGCGTATTAGTGTCTTAATAGCAAACCCTACCTCTATTTTTTTAAATTTTTGAATCCTTTATGTACTTATAGGCACTCAATTCTCATACCGATCTCATCCCAATAAACGATGAGATATATATACGAAGTGATTCACTATAACACAACGCAAGTCGTCTGTTTCACAAAAGATAACAGAGCTGGCTTCAGAATGGGCCGTATGCGTCCCATTAAAGGGACTTAGGGCCGGATTAGACGGGGCATATTAATAAAGTCATAACGCTGTGTTATGGGATACACTTTCTGGGCTTGTATATTACTTTGTCAGTTCGCGTTCGCGCGTATTAATTTGGAACAATTGTCGATTGTGGGGGTGTGATTAGGACTATTTCTCAACGGAACGAGAACTTTACGATATATGCAGGGTGTTTTAATGAGTTTTAATGAGTGCGACAAAGCTCAGGGGGTGAATTCTGCATGAAAAAAAAAATGACAGTTTGCTATATAACTTTTGTCAGTGGCATACATCTTTTCTTTAAAGCCAATTAAGATCATCACCATTTCGTATGCGCGCCAATGATGAACATATAATATCAAAAAATGAACAATAACTTATAGACCTATTAAAATTCTCATCTACACACTGTTTTACCACATAACCAAACGAATTTTTTACCCCTCTCAAAGAAAAAAAAGGTGTAAGAAATCGGTATGGTTAGTGGTAAATCAGTGTGTATAGTGTATTATCGTGCCAAAGGTTCCACTCTTCGATATACCACCAAATCCTATTCTATAACCCACCCTTGCCTAACTGTCCTGTATACAAACCCCCAGTAGCACAAATTTTGGCAGGATATTGACTCCATATTGGCCCAATATCGAAAATATTGAGGCAATGCCCATGTCAAGATTATGTGCTATACAGGGGAAGCATTGATATTGTGATTTAAAAAAGAGCAAGAAGCATCAGTATGGCTGCATGATGCAACAAAGACAAATATATTTTTACCCAACAATCAGCTGATGATAGCAGATCGTTGCTTCTCTCTCGTTTATCCAATTCATTGAATTTGGTTCTCTATATAGGTACATCTTTGTTTGCAATATATGAACGCTCGATTTTAAATGTGGCGAATTGATTATTGATAATGAAATAAAAACCAAAAACTGGGACTTTTTGCTCTAACACGCACTTATGGAATGATTGGCGAACTTTACTAAAGGTTTGGTATTTACTATACCGACTATATTTATTTCAGTGATATATGACATTTGCGCGGAGCCTAATATACTAATTTTATCTGATGAGACATTTCATTTTCTTTTTCGTTTTCCAATGGTATGATGGTCTTCAGCAGTATAAAAACGTATCATCCATCATAAAAATATTCTATAATAGTAAAAGATGTCTCCTGTTTAAATTCATATCTCACAGAATATATGCAATCGAGAAATTCGTACCTACTTATGAGACTTCCATAAATTATTGAGTGATCTATTTTCAATCTGAAATAACTGAAATATTTCACTAGTACTGAACTGTATCAGGTAATATACGTATGATGCAAATGTATGGAATGAATTCATTTCAAAACAAGACGACTTTCGAAAAAAAAAACAAGAACTAGAGTTCAGAACTTTTTCTTCGACGTATTTTTTTAACTAGACGACCCTTCGATGATCAATTCTCAGTAGCAGACCTCTGCAAGATTCAATTAATCACATGATAATCCATTTTAATTTCAATCTTCTTATGCAACATTTTGACTGTTGAATAAACGATCGGTAGACCTTTCAATCAAGGTGTCACATGACCCCTATTTGTATTTGAAAAAATCGTCCATTACGTCTTTACTTCAACACCGGTGACGTAACATCTCTCATATGAATATCATGAGATGAGGCTTCAGAAATTATAACTCACGTGTTTTTGGAATTTTTTCAAATGTCGCCCATTTCTGAAATAATGAATTTATTCCATACATTTGCATCATACTGTATATATGCGTTCTTTCGAAAGACCTCAATTCGGTATATCCAATTCAGGTCAAGTGAAAAACTTCAGTTAGTTCATCAGAACGAAGGAATATCACATTAGCAGAAGGCAATGATCACATGGCTCAATAATGCGAGGGCGAGTTTCGTATAGGTATACACATTTTGGCTCTTCCGTAAGACTCCATATAAATTTTAATCATTGAGCAACATCAGTAACCACAATTTTTGTGAAAAAAGTTCTATAGTTCGATGTGCATTCATTACCCTCGATTTTTTGGGATTTTCTCTTCTCGTTTCTATAAAATGAAAATATGAATATTATTTCAATACGTGTAGTAAGGACAACTCAGATGATTCGCCCCAAAATGTCACTGCGTTTGAAGAATTTTCGTATCAGAGAGCCGAAAAGAAAAATTCACTAACTTGTCAGTGACAATTTGTATTGAAAAAGGTTTGGAGAAAAGGAATAAAGGTATATAGGAAAAATATCAAATTTTTACTTAGCTTTGGACGTTTGGGGAACGAATCTGCTCCCATTTTCAACATAAAAAATGGATATATCATAGTGAAAATTGGTGACGTTGGCAATCAAATGAGTTACAGGATGTTTTCATTAATCAATCTTGAATTTACCATTTTTATTTTCAGATTTCAGTAGTGAATGCCATATTCTATCTATATCAACTGAACAGGAAGCAATATTCAAGATGGACAACATACAGTGTGTCCACCTTAAGGACTTACCACCCCTGTAAAATTGTTATTACCTGACCGATTTCGAAAAACTTTTTTTTGTTGGATAGGTATTTGAAATGTCCATCCAACAAGAGAGTGATTTTACTGATGAACTGTAATCGTGGCCAACTGCGACCAGCTTTATTGACCCATATTTGAGAAAGTACTATTAGGGATTTTTTTTCACAAAAAACAATGATGGATTCTGAATCACGATCACTTGAAAAACACCTTTACTGATTTTTATCATCATAAAACACAGGGTGTCCGAAAAAACGAATTATGTTTTTTTTTAATCGGTGATCAGAGAATGTAGTATTGTGGTATTTTTGAGAAGAATTGATGACACTGATTATTATTGAGGATCACTTTGAACATATCTGTACCGATTTTCATCATTCAAAAATACGATGTGTATGAGAAAACAATTAAAAAGAAAAAGTAGGCAATATTTTTTCTTCAACTCAAAAAAAAATATTAATTTGATTTTTCGAACACCCTGTATTTGATGATGATGAAAATCGGTACAGGTATGTTCCAAGTGATCCTGATTCACCTTTTTATTTTGAGTGAAGAGTTATCAGGATGAAAAATATTGCTTACCTATCCTTTTTAATTTTTTTCTCAGACACATTGTATATTAAAATGACGGAAATTGGTACAGGTATATTTGAAATAATCCTCAATGATAATTTGTGATTACTTCTTTCTAGAAAAACCACAGAACTACATTTGCTGATCACCTATTTGAAGAAAATGATGATTCGTTTCTTCGGACACCCTGTGTTTTATGATGATGAAAATCGGTACAGGTATATTTCAGGTGGTACTGATTCAGAATCCATCATCAAGTTTCGTGGAAAAAAATCCCTAATACCTAGTACTTTCTGGAATATGGGTCATTGAAATTTGTCGCAGTTGGCCACGATAACAGTCCAAGAATTAGATCACTCTCTCATTGGATGGGCCTTTCAAATACCTATCCAACAAAAAAAGGTTTTTTGAAATTGGTCGGATAATAACGATTTTACAGGGGTGGTAAGTCCTTAAGGTGGACACACTGTATATATGGCAGAATGGAATCATATTAAAATCATTGGAAAAGAAGATAACAACCAGAAAAGAAAAACCAAAGAATCTGCTTGATACATTCTTCTGAACGAAGACAATAGCATTGCATTGCAACTTTCGCAGCTTCTTCCATCTCTGTCTCTGGCGGTGTATTTATCAAAATCGTCAAATCTCGGTATATAAATCATCCTATTATTTATTAAAAATTATTGGAACAATATTTGATGGAAAATGTAATTTCTATCAAAAGCACTAATGAGAACTACCAAAGAATTTAAAAAACTTCTTCTGGCAGTTGTGACAACTATTCAAAGCTGAACAGCAGCCAAGTTTTGATCGATTTTTGTTGATTCTCCATGGAAATGTATGTGGTGTTGGCAAAGTGCCGTGAGAAAAAATATTTCTCACATGCAGTACGAGCAATACATGGTTTTGAAGCTATGAGAAATGCGCTACTTTTCATAGCAGTAGTAGAAAAAATTCTTCAAACGCAGTGACATTTTGGGGCAAATCATCTGATTTGTCCTTACTACACGTAGGTATACCTATATTGAAATAATATCCATATTTTTATTTTATAGAAACGTGGAGAGAAAATCTCAAGCTCCAAAATCCTCTCACCTCAATCTCTTAGCCTCATCGATGAACGGCCTCTTCTCCCCCTCACTCAACAGCTTCCACTCGGCCCCCAGCCTCTTCGAGATCTCGGAATTGTGCATCTTCGGGTTCTCCTGAGCCATCTTCCTTCTCTGTCCTCTCGACCACACCATGAAGGCGTTCATGGGCCTCTTGATGTGCTCCTGGTTCACCGGTTTCGGTGACGACATTCTCGAACGTGATATCGTCAGCGAAGCTCGAATTGCCGTCAAAGTAACAACTAGACGACGTCGAAGTAACAAGTAAGCATCGCTAACTCACAAATTCGCGGTGGTAAACAAACGTTTCGATCAAGTTGTTGTTGCGACTGTCGATGGGGACGATATAGTGGCATGTGGCGTTTCGGCCGTTTCGGGAGATCGCGGGGAAGAGCTTCTTGTCTCTGTTGGTAGGAGTGGGGTGGGGGGGATATAGGGGGCGGGGTGTTGTTACAAGTGTGCGCGGATTATGCGAATTTAACCGCTGGATTAGCGGTAATAGCGAGGAATTGGTTAAACGGAAGATTGGCGGTTAGGCGTTGTTGAAGAAATTTGGAGGGCGCGCTGTTCGTGGTTGTTTGTGGTAATCGGCATCCTCGAGGTTAACTATGTATGATATACGGGGTAACTTGGAAACTGGTAGCAAATCAAGTTTGTACATCAATTTACTGAAACAGTTTATTCTTCAGCAGTGGCGTAGCTGTATCGAAATTTGTCGGTGGGACCCTTCAGATTGTGGCGAAACCCACATGGAGGGTGAAGATTCTTCACGAAGGAAACAATAGGTATAGGAATAGGTATACGAGCCACACATGGAAATAATTCAAATGCATCGATTATTTCGAATCCCAATAACTCGAAAATATAGTTGCTCGCAGCGACCTCTACCAAGAACATATTTTTCACACAAAAGTGTTCTAGAAATCTATTTGTCTACTATGAAACGTTATACAGGTACGCACAAAAAAGTTATGACTTCTCAAAAGACTAAAAAGACATGTAGGTGGCGCCACCCCCACGAAAGAGACAACTAACCTGAAATTTGAAATTGTCATTGGAAAATACCCCTAGATATCAAATTTTATTAGAATATCATAATTATCTTGGAATTTATTAACAAAAAACAAAAATAAGAATTCAACTTTGACACTCTGAATCTCAGAAACGGATAACTTTCGAACACATGTTTATACGAACTTTTCTTCTTATTTTGACGTCAGCTATACATGCTCCTGAATTTTCTACACATACTGAAGAAACACCCTGTATATCTACTTTTCCCGTCCATTTTTGGGCAAACATATTAATTGAATCATCCATAGCTGAAGACGATGTTGGTTTCTTGAGATTTTCTGATGCCTCTAACCTAGACATTGATGACAAGATTGACAAGTCTAATAGTCGTTCTTATATATCCCATTTAAGCCCTGATGAGATAGTTTTTCATCAGTTTCAATTTCAAAAATCTTGTTTCAGCTATTGATGCAGTTGAAAGTAACCAGAAGAGGCAAAAATAGGAAACATAATGTTAACCTCCAGAAGTATGGATGCTAGTCTATTGAATTTTCTTATAATCTCAGATTCAAAGTATGATTTCAAAGCGATTATTCATACAGATCAACTAACATATCTTCATATATCTCTAATTAATATAAAGTAGAGACAGTTTTCCGACTACCTCTAATTCTTTTCCCTCTGAAAGCGATAAGAGTTTATCTGGTAGTGACGCACTTCGAACCTATTACTCAGGTCACAGAGACTATGAAATCTTTGTTTATATAGTTGGAAAAATTAATATATCTAAACAGCAATATTACCTACATATTGACTTTGAGGTACGATTCTGTGATGTAATATTGATGTCTGCTGACGTGCGTTGCATGGGGAATCTGAGACTTCCAGTGTTATTATCAACTTTTTGGCACTTGATGCTTCAGGCGGGCAGACTAACATACTTCGTAAAGAATGCTGTATATGAAGTGAGTTTTTTTAACATATGCTTTCAAATGCTACAATATCCTCCTATTGTCGTCGATCGTGCATAATCGTTTTGTTAGAAATTCTGACTGGTTTGAAATTATTATGAACTAAAATCGAAAAACCCATCTGATGGACATTGTGTTCTATGAGTCTATAGTGTCTATATGGATATGAAAACATGGTTCCCATGCATAGTACATTCGTTTTTATTTCAAGGAATGGATAACGGATCAATATGATTGTCAGAATCGAAATTCTTTTTATAATGGTGAATTTTTCTATTCTTTTTGAAAATAAAAGTATGATAATGGTCGATTTGTACTACTTACAATTAGTTGTTATACTAGACTTACCTATACATTCCTATCCCTTACCTACCTCATGCCAATAATGAACTATCGATGATGTTCCCTTGTTTCTTTTTGTGTTCGATTGAACCACAACTTGTATTCTGGAAAGAATCTTTATAAAACGGTTAACTATTTGAATGATTCAACATATCAATATTCATAACATCGATCATCATAACTCGAATACCTACCTATATACAGGCAATGACTATACATTTTTGCCAGACTGAAAATACCTGCATATACCATATGAACATTTAAATTAATGTTTTGCAAATAATACCGTGCTAGCTACATTTTATCTATAGGTATAGTATATAGCTGGATTCCTCCGAAGTGTCCCTCAGGATATAACTGGCTCTCGTTGCTCACGAGTTTCTATCTGCTTAAAAAAGGTTGAAATCAGTCTTGAGTGAGCCACACTATCTGTATCTATAAGTTCCAAAACTCTTTATCCTCTCATGCATTCTATCGATGTCAACTAATTATATAGTGTGTCCCACTTACCATGCTCACCATGGGTATCTTTTTAACGGTGAGAGATACGAGGTCGGTTAAATGACACCAAATGTGGAGTTTGTCAAGGCCAACTATAATGTGAAAAAATATTTTGATAAAATCTATTCTTTTTTGTTTTATACGCAAAAAACAGATTTTGGTCATTTTCATGTCTCCTCCGTAACTTCTTTATTTATGAAAATATTCAAATAGGAATTTCACATTCTCATGGCAGTTTTTGAAAATGATTTCGAAAAAAATATGAAATTTATACCAACTCTTCTAATATTTGAAATATCAGCACCAACTTTAGTTTTACAAATGTAGGTCAAAGCTCACTATGACTTAGTTACAAATAACTTTTTTTCTCTTACAGATGATATGTCGCAGTTATTGTGTTGATAACAACGGAGTTATCGTCATTTATACAAAAACAAAAAATCATTTGGAAGCCGTCATCTTGAATTTATAAATTTTTACAAAAAAATCATGATATCCGACCTCAAAAACCCCCACTTGCCAATTTTGAATGGAATCGGACCAAATCTTGTCCGCCATCTTGGAGCAGCCATTTTTTTTTAATTTCAACAAAAATTCCATAACGAATTGTCACCGAAATTATGAACACCTGCCAAATTTCAAGTTAATCGAAGTTATGGAATTTTCGCTGAAATTAAAAAGAATGGCTGCTCCAAGATGGCGGACAAGATTTGGTCCGATTACATTCAAAATTGGTAAGTGGGGGTTTTTGAGGTAGGAGATCATGATTTTTTTGTTAAAATTTATGAATTCAAGATGGCGGCATCCAAATCATTTTTTGTTTTTGTATGAATGACGATAACTCCGTTGTTATCAACACAAAACTATTACTGCGACATATCATCTGTAAGAGAAAAAAAAGTTATTTGTAACTAAGTCATAGTGAGCTATGACCTACATTTGAAAAACTAAAGTTGGTGCTGATATCTCAAATTCTAGAAGAGTTGGTATAAATTTCATATTTTTTTCGAAATCATTTTCAAAAACTGCCATGAGAATGTGAAATTCCTATTTGAATATTTTCATAAATAAAGAAGTTACGGAGGAGACATGAAAATGATCAAAATCTGTTTTTTGCGTATAAAACAAAAACGAATAGATTTTATCAATATATTTTTTCACATCAAAGTTGGCCTTGACAAACTCCACATTTGGTGTCATTTAACCGACCTCGTATCTCTCACCGTTAAAAAGATACCCATGGTGAGCATGGTAAGTGGGACACACTGTATAGACATAGAATATGATGGTACAGACAGGCAAGAAATCATCCACACACTATAAATGTGGCCATACAGCCTAAAGCGCTTATTGAAATTAGGAATCCAGCTCGAAGGACCAATCGGTTATCCTCCCTCTTCAAAAGTCGCGCTACTTCTTCCTCTTCTCAACATTATTATTGCTGTACCCACAGCATCTTCTTCGCAGCGCCACTGTGATCTGTGTTCTTGGAGAAACAGCGGGAGTCGTTGTTGAAGATTGGCGATACGATTAGGTCGCTGGCATAGCCAATGACGACGAAAAAGGCGGGACGAACGGTATATGTGTGGGTGGAGGGGGATCCATGGCGACGCAGCAACAGGTGGTGGCAGCGAGTTCTCCGACTGCTACTACAAAGATAATCCAATTCTTGGGCAAGATCATCTGATGGTATTACACTGTCAAAAACAAACATCGAATGACAGGTAAATGGGGACGAAAAACATAATGGAAGCAGACCTACGCGAACTATAGTCTTTTCCAGCAATGATGCTGTGATTGGAGTTCATTCTGATCATTTTAAAGATAGTTCTAAACTGAATCCAATGGTTTTAATGACTTCAAATATATTATGAAACCAAAATAGTATATGGTCCTGATGATGAAGCCAAAGGAGTAATTTCATCAAAATACTTCTACATAATGATTCAGTGGGAACAAAAGCAGCTAGGTATATACAGGGTGTGAATTTGAAAACTTCCAATGCGAATATCTCGCGAAAGAAAAAAGTTAGAAAAACGCCGTTCGGCAAAAATGCTAAAGAGTTAAGGGGAACTAGAACCACCATATTTTGGCCAAGGGATGAGTCACCCCGTCGGCGCGACACACCCCAACTTTGAAATGTTAAAAGGCACTACCTTTTATGTGATGCCTCGAATGAACAGTCTCAGTCAGTAGTATTCACCTGTACAAGACTTTTTTTCCACCCACTACAGGGTGTACGAAAAATATAAAATCGAATAAAATAAAATGAATTGTGTTAAAAGGATATTTTATTTGATCAGATGTTCAAAATGCATTCCATTCTGTTGTAAGCAATAGTATAATCGATGTTCAAATGCCATT